TGCATCCTGATCTCAGAGACTCAGAATGCATGTCCACATCAAGGCTGCCTTCATGGGAAGCTCTGCCTTAACACAGAGATTTAACCTGGTCAATCCAGGGTTTTCCAACTCCTTTGATCACCTTGGTGCCCCGTGCTGGTAGAACACACTTCCCTCCAAAGGCCTTCACAGTCCAGCATCCCTCTAGGTCCCCGCATCGCCAGTCCACCAGTTCCCTACAGATCCACTTATCAGGCAGGTTCAACTGGCCTGGGCATCATCTCCTGACCACGCCCTGTTCACAACAGCTCTGAGATACAATTAACACCAGCCACCCCTGTGACGTTAGTAATTCAACTGTTTAGTACGGTTGTGCATCCATCACCCTCACAACCCACTGTGGTGCACTTTCATCGCCAGCCAAGCTCACTCTCCACCTCCCTCAAGCCTCCAGCCACAAGCAACCTCATCTACTTTCTGCCCTCACAGATTTGCCTACTCTGGTCATTTCAGATAAACAGAATCAAACAGTATGTGGCCTTTTGTATCTGGCTTCTTCCAGTCCACTGTTTCAAGGTGCACCGATGTGATAGCATGTATCAGTTTTTGGCTCCTTTTCATGGTCAAGTACCCTCCCCTCTTGGGTGGGTATCTCCCACGTTCAATTTCACCTTTTGGCTACCGTGAACCATGCTGCTGTGACCATCTGTGTATTTTTGTGTAGACGTATGAGTACATTTTTACGTCTCTTGGGCGTGTGGGCTTCTAAGAACGAAGCTGCTGGGTCATAGGGAACAGAGTTCAACCTTGGGAAGAACTGCTGACTATTTTCCAAAGCAGCTGCGCCAATTCACATCTCCACCGGCAGCGAACGAGGACTTGGACCTCTCCCCATCCTCTCCGACACCTGTTCATCATTTCTGTTTGACTTACGGCCACCCCAGCAGCTCACTGGCTTCAGGGACCAGGCCATGGGGTTCCCAGTTTTGTGATGGCCACGCCCTCCAGTGTACCATGATGCCTCCCCCCAAATCAATACCCAAAGTCCTGCAGTTTCCTTCACACACCTGTGACATACAAATGACATGGGCAGAGCTCCTACCCATACTTCCTGTGGTTGTGGACTTTCTGGTCCACAGATGGGTGTCTCTCTCCAAACAGTGAGCTCCTTAGGAAGCGGGGTGAGGTCTTATACTTCTTAGTGGCCCTCAGTTATCAAGCAACTGCTACTTCACAGACATTCATGGATAGGATCTGAAGTAGTCGCTGAGGCTGGAGTTGAGGGAGTCACAACGTGGACTCGGAGAGAGGAAAGCACAGTGCAGAGCTGGGCAGCTCCTCATGCAGGGGCAGATTCATGGCTGTCTCCCACCCTTCCACCCTTCTCTTCCTTCACTAGGAATCTGCATTTACTCTCAAGTCCAGACTTGGTGAATACGACAGAGACAGGGACAGTGTGCGAGCCCCCCTCCATCACTGGTGTCTCTTCCTTTGCTAGCGCCGCACGGCTGGAACTCCCAGGAGCTACAGAGATCTGTGCTGAGGCCACCATGCTCTCACAGTGTCGTTCTCACCCCTGATTGCATCAAGAGTACCGTCCCGGCATGGGTGGTTGGCCAAGGGGTTCAGCTGCCCACATCTCACGTCAGGGTGCTCGGGTTTGATGCTTGACTTCAACTTCTTGCTATTGCAGGGACCCAGTTATTTGAGATCCCTTCTCCTGGCACAGCCCCTGGCCAGGGGCCACTGTGAGCACTTGAGGAGTGATCCAGTGGGGTGGAAGCTTTCTCCCTCTCTCAGCCTCTCAAATTAACCTTTTTAAAACAAGGCGGACTTCTCGTGCACTTATCAAGAAAAGCCTGGAGACAAACAATCACTGAGTCAGTCTTCAAATACTGGATGTCACTCATCTTTTTTAAAGATTTATCTACTTTACTTGAAAGTCAGAGTTACACAGGCACAGGGAGAAAAGGAGAGGCAGAGAAGGAGGTTTTCATCCGCTGGTTCACTCCCAAAAGGACTGCAATGGCCGGAGCTGCACTGATCCAAAGCCAGGAGCTTCTTGCAGGTCTCTCATGTGGATGCAGGGACCCAAGGGCTTGGGCCATCTTCTACTGCTTTCCTGGGCCATAACAGAGAGCTGGATCGGAAGTGGAGCAGCTGGGACTCAAACCAGTGCCCATATGGGATGCCGGCACTGCAGGCAGTGGCTTTACCCATTATGCCACAGCGCCGACCCCGGATGTCACTCATTTTAATCTTGTCCACCCTTTGTTTCACGCAGCTGCTAGGGGGCTCAGATTCACAGCACACTGCACCGAGCTGCGCCTACCTGAAGCGCATCGTTCCTTCAGCAATGACGAGCCAGGAGGCGCAGTGTGCTCAGCACTGAGTGAACGTGCTCTAGTACTCGCAGTGCACAGGGGCAACCCACACTGGAAACACAGCAACACCTTCCCCGCTTCTTACCAAGGCGTCTTCTCCTTCTCGGCTCAACAGACTTCGCTGGGGCTTCTAGTGCATCCCTTAGATCGATAACAGAAACCCTGAGCTGCTGACAACAGAACTAATTCAAAAATAGCTCTCTCCTGTGGCCACGTATGCTAGTCTTATACTTCTAACACACTTTCATGAGCAAAAATCGAGTGAGAACTTGAGCAAGAATTATTTAGCTACACTCTGAGACCCAGGAGGTAGAGCATAACCCTTAAAACCCTAATGCAAATCCCTAAGGTGTTCCTGGTCCAGCTTTTACATCCAAATCCCTTCTTTGTCAAGGTTATTACCCTTGGCAGGATGATCTCACCTCCAGCTCACCTCCAGCAGGCGTGAAGAAGGATCCAAACCAGCAAAAGGGCCCAAGTGTAGAGTAACCATGGGCCCAGCTCCAGGCAGGGGAGGGAGGAACAGACACCGAATCACGTGGCTCTTTGAGGGGATAAAGGTGGGGGCTGGAAGACTCTCAACCCTACGGGGCCTCAAGGTGCCTTTGATAAAGAATAGGAACTTCTGATGCTTCTAAGGACAAGGAGCCGAGAATGGGTGAAAAGCTACCCAGTGACATCCACACCAGTACCCGTGATACCTGCTGACGTGGAAGAAAGTCGTTAGAACCAAGTTACTCACCTTCATTCTAGACAATGAAGAAATCCCCCCCCCCCACACACACACTTTGGAAGTGGAGGGGCAGCCACCGTCCTCATGTGAAACAAACAGACTCAGCCTAAGTCTCAGAGCCCACCCAGTCCCCATCTCCTTCCACTGTGCCATGCAGTGTCGGCCAAGCAGGGCCGTGTGCTGCATCTCACACTCACATTCCTGTCTCCACACGATGGCCCCAAACTGCAGTTAGGAGGAGGGCATCAGTAACGACAGATCAATACAGGATCTGGTCTTCCTTACGCATGAGAGGCCAAAGGTTGCAATCACTCCACCTCCACATTTTAAAGAAATTAAGCAGTCATGAATCATTCTATTAGATTTCTCAGTTTTTCCATCAAGTTTTGAATATGATCACTGTATTTCTTTAATAAAGTAGGGCTCACATATATTGATCTCTACATTCTGTGCTGAACATTGTAAGTCAGTAAGGAAAGCCACCAAACAGCCTTCCCTCATGGAAATTTGTGAGGCTGAAAATTAAATAGGATTCTCCTCTCACAACACCACTCTCTTCTCTTCAACTGGCCTCAACAGCCCTGCTCTCCAAAAAGGGGCTTTGATAGGTTGCTAGCTTTGTAAGATGCTCTCCAGGGGGCTAGCACTGTGCACAGCAAGTTAGGTCACCACTGTGCCGTATACGCCCTGTATCTCCTGTTTCCAGTCCTGGCTGCTCCACTTTGGATCCAGCTTCCTGCTAGTACTCTTAGGAAAACAGTAGGAGCTGGTCCAGGTACTTGGGCCCCTGCTACACACGTGGGAGATCTGAAAGGCGTGCTGGACTCCTGGCTTTGGCCTGGCCCAGCCCCAACCACTGTGGCCATTTGGAGAGGGAACCAGCAGACGGAAGAGTCCTTCTTTTTGTTGCTCTGCCTTTCAAATAAACATTGTCTCCAGAGGTGGCAAGAAAGATATGGCTGAAAGGAATCACCCTTAACTGTTAATTGGGATAGGCATTTCCATAGCTTTAGGCATTAACAGGCTAACATCATCACCAATCACAGAGCCTTTTTTTTTTTTTTTTTTAAAGACAGGCAGAGTTAGTGAGAGAGACAGGGAGAAAGGTCTTCCTTCCATTGGTTCACCCCACAAATGGCCGCTACGGCCGGTGCTGCACTGATCCGAAGCCAAGAGCCAGGTGCTTCCTCCTGGTCTCCCACGCGCATGCAGAGCCCAAGGACTTGGACCATCCTCCACTGCCTTCCCAGGCCACAGCAGAGAGCTGAACTGGAAGAGGAGCAACCAGGACAGAACCGGCGCCCCACCCGTGACTAGAACCCGGAGAGCCAGCACCGCAGGTGGAGGATTAGCCTAGTGAGCCACAGTGCCGGCCTCATTTTCTCTTGAGAGAACTGTACCCAGCCTGCAGGGCTAGAAAAAAGGAGATGCACTTAAGTCCCTAAACAGAACTCAACTTCCAGAGGAAAAATCCAAAATCAGCATGCACAGCTGCTAACCTGGAACTTCTATTTTTGCTCCCAAATGCCTGCCCCTGAGCAGCTGTCAAGGAGTCTTCAGGGAGCGCCTGTGAATCAGGCTGGGCAAACGGATGGGATTCCACAGTCCAGGAAGGGAGGAAAGAGGGCCAAAAGGAAGTGGAAGAGAGGAAGGCAAGGGATCGCTCCACTGCTCAACAAATGAGCTAAGCCTCAGCCCACTCTTCAAGTTCATGTCTAAGTTCACAAGAGTAAGATGAGGACGACGAGCAAGGAGCCAAGACAGAACCTGGGCTAGCTCTGCTTCCAAGATGCTTCCTCAATTCCAACACCGCCCTCACCGTGCGCCTCAGCCACAACAGACAACAGAAACGCCACTCCCTGCCGCTGACCACGAGGAGACAGCCGGGCCGAAGCCCTTCTCACCTGGCCATCTGTTTGTAGGCTTCCTCCGCCACGGCGAAGATGTGGGGGTCCATGTCGCCCATGTTTTGGCCACTGTAGGCGTAGATGACATCTTGTCCATAGATTGGCAACTGCTCGTAAGGATTAATGGCAACAAGCACGATACCTGTGAACAGACGAGGCAGTCAGAGCCCAGCAGCCAATGGCCACCTGGCGTCCACTTCAGGTGCCCAATCTCATCATCCAACCACAGATGAGAGGGGAATGCAGCCGGGCTCAACCAGTCAGCCGGTGACACAGGGCTCACCCGACTGCTTCTGTGCCAGTGCCTGCTGAGGCCAACGATGATTAAGACACAGGCCAGGCCTGCAGATACCCACAGCCTGGAACAAGTGAGCGTGCATGCACACATACATGTACACAGTCACCAAAACTTAAATTCCATTTTTAATATAAATTTTTAATGATGTATTTTAACTGAAAGGCAGATTTAAGGAAGAGATGGAAAAAGAAAGATCCTTCCGTCCTCTGGTTCATTCCCCCAGATGGCTGCAATGGTTGGGGCTGGGCCAGGCCAAAACCAGAAGCCTGGAACTGGAACTCCATCCGGGTCTCCCACATGGGTGGCAGGGGCCCAAGCAATTGGGTCATCTTCCCCCCAGCTTTTCAGGTCTATTAGCAGGGAATTGGATTAGGAGTAGAGCAGGGCCGGCGCTGTGGTGTGGTAGGTAAAGCCGCCGCCTGCAGTGCCAGCATCAGGTCCTGGCTGCTTCACTTCTGATCCAGTTCTCTGCTGTGGCCTGGGAAAGCAGTAGAAGATGGCCCAAGTCCTTGGGCCCTGCACCCTTGTGGGAGGACCCAGAGGAAGCTCCAGGATTCAGATTAGCACAGCTCCGGGCATTGGGGCCATCTGGGGAGTGAACCAGCAAATGGAAGACTTCTCTCTGCCTCTGCCTCTCTGTAACCCTGCCTTTCAAATAATAAGTAAATAAATCTTAAAAAAAAAAAAAAAAAAAAAAAAAAAGAACAGCCAGGACTTGAACGGACATCCACATGGGATGCTGGCATTGCAAGCGGTGACTTAACTTGGTAGGCCACAGCACCAGCCCCCAAATTGAATTTTTTTTTTTTTTGACAGGCAGAGTAGACAGTGAGAGACAGACAGACAGAAAGGTCTTTCTTTTCCATTGGTTCACTCCGCAATAGCCGTTGCGGCTGGTGCGCTGTGGCCGGCGCACTGCGCTGATCCGATGGCAGGAGCCAGGTGCTTCTCCTGGTCTCCCATGTGGGTGCAGGGCCCAAGCACTTGGGCCATGCTCCACTGCACTCCCAGGCCACAGTAGAGAGCTGGACTAGAAGAGGAGCAACCGGGACTAGAACCTGGGGTGCCAGCGCCGCAGGCAGAGGATTAGCCTGCTGAGCTGCAGCGCCGGCCCCAAATTGAATTCTTAAAATAGATACAGGCAAATCTTTAGACATTTAACTCCACTAAAAGGTATTAGTGATATTTAAAATCCCATGCTGGAATTAAAGTCTGGGAAAGGGAGTGAGTTTTTTCACTTGCGTATAGGCTATCTTAAATACAATTTGGGATCGACAGTAAGTCTTACATATCTTAAGATCTCACCTTAGCTCAACCAATTACCATGTAACTCTGGCAATTCATCTCCCAGCGCTTCAGTTCCCAACTATAAAATGGGAATAGAGAGAGCGGGCATCTAGCTTGGCACTTAAGACGCCCGTGTCCCACATCAGAGCGCCCAGCTTCAACTCCCTGCTCTCTCAACTCCAGCCCTCAGCAACGCAGATCTTGGCAGGCAGCCATCCCGGCTCAGGTGACTGGGCTCCTGCCACCCTCATGGGAGCAGATTTGAGTCCCCAGCTCCTGGCTGGCTCTGGCCTCAGTCATGCCCCGATACTGTGGGCAGCTTGTTCTTCCTCAAGGGAGTAAGTATGTACGTATGTGCACGTGTGTACACGTGTGTGTGTGTGTGTGTAAAGTGCATTTACCTGCAACGTCCTAAGAAGAAAATGATTGAGGGGGACTAGACTCACGCCTTGCTCAGCAGCCACTGCGTGTTTGCTATTTTTGAATCCACAACTCATATCATAGCTTACTGGGGTGTCCTCCCCCTTACGTCTTTTGTTTCTAAAAGGATGCTCCACAATGATGCACACGATAATGCAAAGTGACTGAGCAATCAGGCAACCCTCCCCAGTTCAGAGCATCTTTTGTGGGGGGTGAAACAGGTGGTGTTAGAGAAGGCAGACAGAAAAAAAAATGTCAGTCTGATCTTCGCGGCCAGACAGGAACACCTCCTTTCCATTCCTCCCAGGCTGCCTTCTGGGTGTTAGAGCGGACAAAGAGTGCTTTTTCAGTCACTGGCAGATGGAGATCCAACAACAGCAAAGATCCCCGTCCAGGTGGGAAGCATCCCGGGCTGTGCACCCTTCAGGGGTGTGGAGAGAGATGGGGGACAGCAGGTGTGGGCACAAACATCAGGTCTGGGGTAAAGGGCCAGAGGACCAAGGGGTCACCTAAGTCCTCCTTCCATGACAGCCTGCCTGGGAGGACAGCCTGGGACAAACATGAGGCCCAGGACACTGACAAAGGCCCCGGCAGGGCTAGGCCCTGGGGGAGCCCTCCAGCGTGGCGCTGGTTATTAGGGGCTGCTATGAGGGAATCCTCCAGCATTGGTTATTAGGGGCTGTGTCAGTCCAGCTCAGACTGTGAGCTCACACATCTTCCCACAATACCCGGCCCTCTCCAGGGAGAGGCCTGCGCTGCACCAGGCACTGCATGGCTGAGGGGGAGGAGCCAGGGGCCTCAGGGCGGGGCACACACTTGAGGATATCTCCTGGCCTTTAGAAACGGAAGCTGGGGGCCATTTACCCAACTTTTCTCCTCAAAAGGGAGGTCTTTTTTTTTTTTTCCTTGATGGTCCTGGTAGCATTTTTAAAGTTTAAGATGAGGGTTATTTTTTAAAGTCTTATTTAAAAACAAACAAAAGCAAAAAACCTCAAAGGCTCTGGCAACTGCCAGTTTTTTTGAAAAACTCCAAGTGGCCACCGGGGGCGAAGCAGCTTTCAGGAACTGAGGTCAAGGTAGCGGCCGCTCCCGACGTCCGTCTGGCTGCACAGCGCAGCCTTGCCAAGCCACTGACCTCCCACCTCCAGCCCCAGGCGCAACCTGAGATGGCCCGCATGCCCGGTACTCGAGGCAGGGCCCCCTCACCACGGAGACTGAGACCCAGGCAACTCCCTCCGGGATTGCCCCCCCACAGCCCAACTCCCCAACCAAGTCCTCAGCCTGCCTCTCACACAACAGCTTCTATTTCTATTTCTGCCATGTCACTTAATGCTCAAAAATTTTTAAACAAAAATTTAGGAAGAGAAATCAAAACTTGCAATGTGGCAAAAAGCAAGTTCAAGAAAGTCGGGTGTGATAACTTCAGGACTTCTTGTCCTAAGCAGTTGTTAGGGATTTAGCTCACTAGTTGAGCAAATAGTCATCCAACAGCATCCCGGTACACAACCCAGTGAGCCGGTCAGAGAGAAGACAACCATTGCAAGTAGAAAGCAAAGCAGCCAGGTGGAGATGTGTAGGTGTGCTTTCGGACGCGAGAGCGGGCACCGTGAGGCCCTGGCTGCTCTCCTGCCACTCGGAGGACACAGCGAAGCCACAGGGCACGGTGCACTTCCTCCTGGCTGAGCCGTGATTAACACCAATCATCCCCCAGACACCAGGGCAGCCTAATTAATCCACTGATTGCAAGCCTTTCAGGAGTCTCAGCTGAGAGGCCCTTATGCACGAGTGTGGAATTAGGACTCAACCATTTGATAAGCCTGAAGACGGGAAGAACCATCTGACATCTGCAGCCAACAGGTGCCCCACTTACCACAGTAGGTGTAGATATGGTTGGACTCCAGGAAGCGGACCTTCAGATTGTGCAAAACCGCAGGTTCGTGGAGATAGCTAAGGGCAGTGAGGTCATTTTCCCCAACCAAGATGTCTGGATTCCGTAAGAAGGGCAGCTGGTTGCTTTGGACATCGATTGGGTACTCTCGAACCTAAAGGAATCCAAGCAGCAGACACAGAAAGGAACAGCGGTGAGGCACGCAGCCCGTATTCAACGTCCTGCCTTCTTGGCTGTTGTGAGTGATGAGTGTAACGTTTTAAAGTGAGGCCAGCTGAACACAATACCCGTGTTCACATGAGACCAGCCCAGGGGCAGAGTCACTGACAACATAATCCCAATACATTCAGGTAGGACCGATAAGAAATCCAGGAAGACGCACCAGACCAAGAGAATGTTCTATTGCTTCCCAATGACAGAGCACTGGGCCACTGAGCTGCCACAGGGCTCTGATCTCTCCCCTGCAGGAGACCTCCCTGGAGGGGCCACATTTAACAGCAGTGCCTCCTCACTCCGTCTCACCCATCGACCAACATGCTCGCTTTCGTCTGGATTACCCTGCAACTGATGAGCTGCCTCCGGCAGAGGCCTCACGTGGTGCCATTGCACGTGTGTTTCTCTACAACCCGACTGCAAGCTGCTCTCGGGCAGTAATTCTGCCTAGACCTGAAGTACAAGAGAGACTCGGGAAGACCGTGTCACCAGGGAGCAGGCTCACACATTTTAAAGTCACAGCTCAGATGGGAGAGGTCATCTTCCTATCCTTGGCACAGCGTGTGGACCACGTAAGTACCCAACAGAGTGACAGTATTTATAACTGACAACATATGTACGTATGCATGCAGGCATGTCTCATTTAGAAGGTGGTAGGGGTTATTCTTCAGATTTTTTTTTTTTTTTGGACAGGTAGAGTTAGACAGTGAGAGACAGAGAAAAAGGTCTTCCTTTTCCGTTGTTTCACCCCTCAAGTGGCCACTACAGCCAGCGCGCTGCGCTGATCCGAAGCCAGGAGCCAGGTGCTTCCTCCTCCTGGTCTCCCATGGGGTGCAGGGCCCAAGTACTTGGGCCATCCTCCACTGCACTCCCTGGCCATATTAGAGAGCTGGACTGGAAGAGGGGCAACCGGGACAGAATCTGGCGCCCCAACTGGGACTAGAACCCGGGGTGCCGGCGCTGCAGGCGGAGGATTAGGCTAGTGAGCTGCGGCGCTGGCCTCAAACATTTCAATAGGAGGAACTTGGCTGCCCACTAGGTGTTGTCTGGGTGTGGAATTTCTTAGTGTTCTAAAGAATCACCAAGGGAGCGCATGAAAAATTTCATGAACCCAATTTATGTCTGAAGCTCTTCAGTGAGACCCAAGAGTAAGATTTTACAAACACCTCAAGGAATTACGATACAGGTGGAGTCTGGATCACACTCTAAGCGTCATTGTCCTATACTTACCCTTGAGGAAATTCTCTGAACAGTGACAGTTCACTGGAGTAACAGTACCACTGTCCTGGCTCATCCTCACATTTAGAGGGACTAAAGCCACCAAGTCTTAAGACATATTCTAGGGGTCGGCATTGTGGTGTAGCAGGTAAAGCCACCACCTGCATCCCATATGGGCGCTGGTTCAAGTCCCGGCTGCTCCACTTCCAATCTAGCTCTCTGCTAGAGCTTGGGAAAGCAGAAGATGGCCCAAGTCCTTGGGCCCCTGCACCCGCATGGGAGACCTGGAGGAATCTCCTGGCTTTAGATTGGCACAGCTCCAGCCATTGCAGCCAATTGGGGAGTGAACCAGCAGATGGAAGACCTCTCTCTCTGCCTCTTCTTCTCTCTGTGTAACTCTTTCAAGTAAAGAAATAAAAAAAATTCTAAAGCCAGGAATCACAGAACTACAGTAAGGGTGCTAAACCAGGCAGAGTAATGAACTGTAATAGCAGATTCAGAAATAAACGCAAGCATATACGGAAAATTTGTGCATGATAATGTTAAAATGCAAATAAATGGTTAGTAGGAATCATTAGAATATTGGCAAGTTAAGTAGCAAACAATTTGGAGGAAAAAATAAAAACAAGCCAGTATTCTCACTCCCTCATACCAAAATAAATTTAGATTGAACAAATGTAACAAAGAATACCAAAAAGAAAAACAGTAAGAAAAACAGGAACAATATTTGTGTGAGTGTTGGCAGAAGAACTTTTGACGTTTGGTGCAAAGGCCAGAGCTAGGTAGGCAAACACTCATCAGTGTGACTACAATGAAGAGCTTGAAAAGTCACAAAACACATGGGTGGCAAAGCCAAATGGGAGAGGGGCAGGGACTCTACATTCCATGAGTTCATGACCACAATATCCACAAGCTTCAGAACTCAGAGAGCCAACACCCTAACAGAATCAAATCACCAACTAAGAACCACAAGTGGACAACACACAAGCTATTCCAGATGAAGACACTAGAGTATCAGCATAAAGAGCAATCAAGGGCCAGGACAAGACCTCCCTAGGAACAGCGTGGGAACCAGGTGCACCACTGTGGGTGCAGGCGGCTCCACCCCTCCGGAGGGCGTCGGGTAACAGGTGCTCGGAATTTTTCATCAACAGCTGCTTCTTCCTTGGCCTCGGTCCTGCTGGTGAGCAAGGACACAGACTCACTGAAGCTTTAAATAGTAAGGCTCAAGCAGACGGAGACCCCTACGGACAGCACAGCACCTGCCCAGGCATCCTGCTGAGGATTAAAGTGTTACAGAGGAAGGAGCCGAAGAACTCCACATTCATTTATTTTCTTAAATAACAAAAGTGTCCTTTTAAATTTATTTTTAAATATTTATTTGAAAGATAGAGGGAGGGAGGGAGGGAGAGAGAGAGGTCTTCCATCCGCTGGTTCCCTCCCCAATTGGCTGCAATGGCTGGAGCTGCACTGATCCAAAGCCAGGAGCTTCTTTTACATCTCCCACGTGGGTGCGGGGGCCCAAGACCTTGGGCCATCTTCCACTGCTTTTCCAGGCCATAGCAGAGAGCTGGATTGGAAGTGGAGCAGCCGGGACTTGAACCAGTGCTGTAGGTGGTGGCTTTACCCGCTACACCACAGCGCCGGCCCCAAGAATTCTACATTTAAAACTACGCATTCAAGCCTGCCTGGAGTGACGTCCCCACCAGACACGGGTTCTCTCCGTGGGATTTTCCTCCTGGTGCTGGTTTCTTTTCTCAGGTGAATGTAGGCCCTTTTCCTTCTGTGAAAAGCTCTTATTTATGTTAAACTCTGCAGACAGAATTCCCAAAAGGTGGACTGTGAGTTGGTTTTCATCCCACTGGGTTGTGGCACTGCCAGTCTCCTTCATCCACCGAGTTTGGTGGTGTCACTGGGCCCCTCTCAGGTCCCCCCTGCTGAGCCACTCTGAAGGCTTCCTCATTCACTACCACAACCCTGCAGCTCTCCCCCAGCTCAGCAAGCGGCCTACCCCTCTCTCTACAGACCAGAAAGCTGGGACCCGAGCCCAGTGTCTCCAGCGCCCAAGACAGAAATGCCGGCATCTTCCTTTCAAAGATGCATCTCCTCCCAAAAGCCTCTCCCCGCTCCAAGCACATGGAGGCCAACACGCGCCATCTTGTGGGAATGCAGTCCACCAGTGAGCTAGTGGTGCTGGCGACAGTGAAACTGATAAGGAACACAAGTGCCCAGAGCAGCAGCAAAGACACAGAGCTGCCCACTCAGCACCCGGAGCTGCGGACGCCTTGTGTGTGGACACCCAGAGGGGAGGAGGCCACCAGAGCCTTGAGAACAGATGGCTCTTCTGGCACAAGAATGCGATTCCAGGGCTGCCCAGTGCCCGGCACGGACGGCAACTGCTCACCGAGTATCTGCAACCATCACCAGGTGCGGCCCACGCTGCAGCACTGGACAAGGCTCCTTATTCCTGAGTTTACGCACCGGGTAACGTAGCCCAACACGCCCAAGGCAGAGCAGCACCAGCAGCTGGACGGAGACCGAGCAGTCCAACAGAAGTCTGTATTTTACATATTCTTTTACATTTCCAAAGCTTTCCAAGGACAGATTTACGTCAATAACTTAGATAAGACTGACTTTAAATGATTTGCTAAGATGGAGCCTGATGCCTTTGCCCTGGCCTCACAAACCTTAGGGTGGCCTTGGCTATGGGGGCGGGGATGGCACACGTTGCTTTAGTAAGGCTCCCACGTTCTCTGTCTTCCTCCCTCCAAGTCAGATCTCTGCACACAGGGAGTACTCCCCATCTGGGAGGCACCTATAAGGTGGACACAAATTCAATGGGGAAATGGCATTTAAAAGCACAGCTGGGGGTGGGGGGCATTGAGCCACTTTGAGTCCCAGCTGCTCCACTTCCAAACCAGCTTCCTGCTAATGCGCCTGGGAAAGCAGTGGAGGATGGCCCAAGTGCTTGGGCCCCTGCACTCACGTGGGAGACAAGGATGGCGTTCTGACTCCTGGCTTCAGCCTGACTCAAGTCTCGGCTGTAGTAGCCATTAGGGCAGTGAACCAGCAGATGGAAGATCTCTGTCACTTTGTTTTTTAAATAAATCTTTAACCAAATGCACTGCCAGGGAAAGGGGAAAAGTTTCCCCTGCCACTAGAGGGCATGAGCTGAGCGGACTGAAAAGGAGGGAGGACCAGGAGATAGAAGGCTGGACCTGCACAGTGCTGCGTTCCAGGCAAACCATGCAGGAACTATACCTGTCACCATGGTTTGCGTCACTCAAATGCCCAATCCAGTTTAAAAGCGGAGTGCTGGGGCCGGGCACTGTGGCATAGAAGGTTAAGCCTCCACCTGCAGCGCCAGCATCCCAGCTGCTCCACTTCCGATCCAGCTCCCTGCTAAAGGCCTGGGAAAGCAATGGAAGATGGCCCAAGTGCTTACACCCTTGCACCCATGTCGGAGACCTAGAAGAAGCTCCTGGCTTCAGATTTGCTCAGCTCCAGACATTGCGGCTATTTGGGGAGTGAACCAATGGATGGAAAACCTGTTTCTCAAATAATAAGTTTAAAAAAAAAAAAAAGGCAGAGTGCTGTGCTAAGGGCTGGTGCACTCAGAAAGCTGACACCCATCCCGGGTCTGGGGAGAATGCAGTGGAAGACATCAGACACTGTCCTTTCCCCCAAGGACTTTACCATCTTGGGCCCCTGCCACCCACACTGGAGACCCAGACGATGTTCCAGGTTCCCAGCTTCAGCCTGGCCCAGCCCCAACCATCACAGCCATTTGAGGAGTGAACCAATGGATGAAAGATCCCCCTATCATTCGGCTTTTCAAATACATCTTAAAAAAAAAAAAACCTTGTGTCATTACAGGTGAAATGCAACGGACACAGAGACAGATGCTGCATGAAGGCACAAGCATGAGGCCCCGAGCAGCCTCCGAGTGAGGAAGTCAAAGGTTGGCTGCAGGCCGGGGAGGGGAGACGGGGCAGTCAGTGGGACAGGGTCAGTTTTGCAGCACAAAGAGGGTCCTGGAGCTGGACGGTGGTCATGGTTGCACAAAACTGAATGCCACTGAGCTGTACACTCAGCAACCATTAACGCTGGGGCAGGGGTGGGCACAGCCGTGAAGCCACCACTTGTGATGCTCGCATGCCGTATCAGGATGCCTCCATTCAAGACGTGGGTTCGAGTCCCACCTCTGCTCCTGATTCCAGCTTCCTGCTGGTGTGCACCCTGGGAGGCAGCAGGAGACGGCTCAAGTGGTTGGGTCCCTGCCACCCACACGGGAGACCCAGATGAGTTCCCAGCTCCTGGGCATTTAAGGAGTGAACCAGCAGTTGGGAGGACAGTGTTCCTGTCTCACAAAATTTAAATTTTTTCCTAATTGTTACTATGATAGATTTTATATTTACACAAGTTCTCCTTACATAATAATAAATGAGCAAAAGCAGAGAAAGAGAATACCTTGGAGGAACAGTGAGAAGCTGAACAGGTCAGCCCTGCTACAGCTGGGTTAGCAGCATCGTGTATTCTAGGAAGGACCCTGACTCTGACCCTTCGCTGCTGCAGTGAGACCCATCAGGGGGCAGGAGGCTGCTGGGGTGGGTTTCCCAAACAGCCTGGAATAGCGAAGCTGGCTTCAGCCTCACAGGAGGCTGCTCAGGCACTCAGGGTGCAGCCACGTGGCTCCTGCCCCAGGCCACAGCTCCACCCCCTCCTAACGACAGCCCAGAGCCAGCCGTGGACAAGTCACAGCCCAGGAGCAGCCAGGACAGAGGCAGCTGCTCAGAGCCCATTATTTCTCAAGAGCTGCTGATGTCCGGCCCTGGGCTTCCCTTCGGGGTCCACACTGGCCGGAGCAGGGGAGAGGAGAGAGGAGCCCTGGGCAGCTGCCAGGATGAGTCACCCAGGGCCAGCTTCCCTCCCAGCCAGGCAGGCACCTGTCAGCACCACAACAGAGCGTCCCTCACTACCTCCCTACAACTTTCCCCAACACCTGCCCACTGACAGAATCAACTGAAGAAATCTGGAGTGAAAGAGGCAGCGTGCGAGTGGGCGGGGTGGGGAGTTACTCAGCACGGTAAACAGACGCCATCTGTCAGGAGCTGCCTTTCTCGGCGCACAGCGGCCGGCCAGGAAGAGGAAGGCGAGTGGATGCTTTCTAGCAAACTCGCTGTCCTGCTCCGGTCACCAAGTGCTACGCTCAAGGTCCACAGTAGGGGGATACGGAATCCACAAGTTACTCACCGACCATCTAGGTGGGAAGATTAGGCCACGATGCTTCAACTGATGATGAAGTGTTAACAGTCGACGATCGAAGGCTGAAGGTTATGGCATGGCCTTCTACTGCCACTGGACTTCAGCAAGAGGCCCGCCAGCACGCCCAGTCATGCCCACTCTGCAGCCCATCCAGATCCGCCCCAGAGCCAGTTCTCGAGGTTTCCCCACCACTGTGTTCAAAGCCCATTTCTCTGTGAGTCCCGCAGGAACTCCCTCTGGGCATCCCCCGCCCAGGGCCACCTGACCACTCCTTCCTCCAACAGCTCCCAGGTGCACCACGGGCCTCCTCCCCATCCCTGGAACGTACCCAAATGGGACAAAGGATGATCTCGGGGCTTTGGCGCACACACACAGCTCCTGCCTCAGACACCCTACTCCAGGGCCACCGCACCCCCAGTCTTCAGTGGCTGGTTCCTTCCCACAGCGCTCTCTCCCCAAGAAGTGTGGCCTCACTGAACACCCCTCCCTGGAGAGTTCCTGATGCTCCCTCCAGCACCTCGAGCTCTTGCTCTGTGCTCACTGCAACCTGTCACGACCCCGTCTCACTCCTATGTCACGTGCACTGCCCTCTCCACACTGAGCTCCCCAAGTCAGCAGGGCCACACATGTCCATCACTACCCATGAGACCCAGTCCAGGGCACGCACCCAGGCTCCAAACACATGTGAGACGCACATCGCAGGCTCATGGAAAGGGGAACCAAATTGGACCCTTGAGGAGGAAGAGGGTGGCATGGTTACTGCCAACAGCAGCCTGAAGGTCGGTGAGGAAAAAGGAAGCTCAGGCACCTGCGACACTCACGTGCCCGGCACAACTTAGTACACGTCACAGACTAACCTACTTTATCCTCAAAATAACTTGAAACAAAAACCATTCCCATTCATGTCAGAAGTGACCAGCCTGCCCAAGTCACTCAGCTCCTGAGGGCTGAGCAGGACCCCAACCCAGGTGGGCTGGCTCAGTACCCACGTGCCAGCCTCCAGACCCTGCACTTCGGGTGATCTCTCGTAGGAGCTCCCAGCCCCCAGTACCCACAGATGCCTCAAACCCAGAGAAGGACCCCCCGTTCCTTTTGCTGCACAGAGAAGATCCTGGTCTCAGCCACCCAGGACCTCTCCGTGGCCAACCCCACTGGGTACTTACTCTTTACCAACACCCACAGAGCAGCTTCCTGCATCAGTGCTTTCAGATAACATCATCATCATCAACGGGAGAACCCATGGCTCAGAGGCTCCAGTGGCCAGGACAACCACAAGCATACCATGTACCAGTGAGTCCTGATTGACACACACCTGAGCGTCCCACCCACCCACCAGCCCAGCCCAGCACTTACGGTTTCATCTTCCAGTCTGAGCTGGAGGCACCTGTCTCCCTCTTTGTAGTCCTTGGTTAACTCAGCTGAGCGCCACACTTCCTCAGGGTCAGGGATCCACACCCTCGTGTACTGAAAGATGAAAACCAGAGACTCAGACACGAAACAAAGCTGCCAGGGGTGAAACGCATCGCCACCTATGCAGGGCCTACCCCAACTTTTAAAGCCACATGCACACATCTTGCCATCTTCAAGACCCAAGGTGACCCAGTACCAGGATAACAGATAACTAACTCACGGGGCTGGCAGCAGACAGCACCTTCCAGGTCTTAGCAGAATATGCAGGATGACTGGCAAGGCTGCATCTGGCTATCCCCACCACCAGCTGCTCTGTGGTCTCCCAGGGTAGCACACAATAGAGTATCTGGTGTGGCTACAAGCAACGCCACACACAAAACCCAGCAAGACAGCACAGCCCATCTCTGTAGCTTGCCAATATCTGCTCCAATATTCTACCTTCAGGGACAAAGTCATTTTCTTGCAGACATCTTAAGGAAGCGGTCAACAAATCAATAGCATATTTAAGTATCCCAGAACAGTCAGTTTGTACGTTCTTGAAGCCAGAAACTTACCCTGAAAATCTCATCCCACCTTCCCCATTGCTATCCTGACTCAAAGACAGTCATTAAGCTGGCCAAGTCCTGGCATGGGAAAATCCCTGTCCCCAGCCAGTGGTGACACAGGGAGACACCTCCGGCGACTTGCCCAGCAGATGCTCAACCTGACTCAGCCATTCCCAGCCCCAACCCCATGTCAGAATCACACATGGAGCTCTGGAACCCCACTCCCATGTTCCGTTGCAGACCAGTGCCATGAGGACCCGAGGTGAGGCCGACGTATGGGGTACTCTCCACATGGCAGCATCTGGATCTGCTGGCTGTCATGAATTCAGTTCATGGTCATTTCCACTTAAGCTGTGTGCATGTGTGTACATGCACAGGGCTTCACAAAGTGCATGGAAAAAGGACTTACAAGATATTTTGGTGCAAAAAAAAAAAAATGAAACCAGTCCGCAAACATTTTGAGAACCCCATGTTTGTGTGGGCTTCAAAAAAAATTTTGCACCAAAATAAACTTACCTGTCCAATCTGAAGTACCCTGGGTTTGGTTTTTTTTTTTTTTCATCATCAAGGTTTATTTGCTCATGGATTTACTGATGGTTCTGTTGGTCAAACTACAACTCCAGAGTTATGATAAAATGGGATCACAGAAGTGTCAGATCAGCTTTAAGACAATTTTACTTTAAATCTACAGCATTAAAAAAAAAAAAAAACACTTCGAGTTTTGCTAAAAGTTTCTAACACCTGTGCGCCTAACTTCTTTGCTACAAAATTCCCAGCAAAGCTAAAAGCCACACTCAGTTATTTCTTCCTCCAACAACACTTGGATTCACAAGCAATAGTATCACATTACCTGATGACACAGAAGCCTCTAAATCTGGTACAAATGTAAAGGAAAAAAAAAAACCCACAACTTTTCATCTAGCATTGACAGAATGAGGTACTGAAAATGCTGCTCCGGATAATTTCAGGGGTTATTAGTCCACGGAACAACGTCTTGTCGTTCTGAGCCCAGATTTGGGGGTCGCATCACATTTACCTCGTCTCCACTAACTCAATTCAACTCCAATCACCGCTCTGCTTTTCTGCTTCTGTCAAGGGGAAGTCCCCAGTCCACATGAAGCGGACGTGCACGCGTTTGAGGACTTTGTTCAGCGATCTTAGACCTGGACACAGGCCTGGCATGGTTTTGTGGCCAAACAACATCCTTGGCAAACCCAGGAACAGGTCAGGCAGGACAGGGGCTCGGTCAGCATACTCCCCTCTGCTTGTGGGGCAGGCACCCCAAGCACCAGCCGACCAGGCGCCCACGCAGTGGGCTTGATTTAGGTCCTGCCTCTTGTGTTTTTCAACAATGTTGGCCTGCAGGGGGTCCCTGACCCCTGTGCCACACTCCCTTTCATGACTGAGCCGTGGAAGACGTATGGGGCAGAACCAGACGTGTACCGATGGGCAGGCAAACACCCTCAGCATCCCAGCTCAGGGTAGGAAGCCAGGGTCACTGATCGCTGGTATTACAAAGAAAGCTCACAGCATCCTAACCCTGGCTCTGCCTCTCACAGGGAGATTAGCCTCTCTCTCTACAGTTCAGTGCTACAGGACTTCAGATCTGCGAGCTTTCCAGTATAACCACCTCTAGGGAAAACTTCCTGAGCTCCGGGTGAACTCGTCCTCCCCACAGGGACTCTCGTTCACCCTCACCCAGGGCCACTCCCCAGCCAGCTGCAGCGACCTGTAAGACTCTGTCCCCAGCCAGCGCCATGGCTCAATAGGCCAATCCTCCAGCTACAGCGCTGGCACCCCGGGTTCTAGTCCCAGTCGGGGCGCTGGATTCAGTCCCGGTTGCTCCTCTTCCAGTCCAGCTCTCTGCTGTGGCCCAGGAGTGCAGTGGAGGATGGCCCAAGTCCTTGGGCCCTGTACCCGCATGGGAGACCAGGAGAAGCACCTGGCTCCTGCCTTCGGATCAGTGCAGTGTGCCAGCTGCAGCGCGCCGGCCGCAGCAGCCATTACAGGGGCAACCAAAGGAAAAGGAAGACCTTTCTGTCTCACTGTCCACTCTGCCTGTCAAAAAAAAAAAAAAAATACTGTCCCCAAGCTCCAGCCTCCTCTGGTTCTCTCTGGTTTTACAGCTATGCTTCTGAGACCTCCCTCCAGTCAGTGCACCCAAGAGAGTCTGCCCCACGCAAAGCCTCCGCTCAGCGTAAACGCTGTCAGAACAGCTCAAGTAACAGTGACTGAGACAACAGAGGAAATCCGGGCAGGAGCCAAGAGGAGGTGACGGGACCGGGACCCAAGGAGCCCAGCCCAGCATGCTCCTGCCCGCGTGCGGCTCCATGTGGCGGACGTGACGGCGGCCAGCACCACAGAGCTCACGTTCCAGCTCTATCTCCAATTCTTACTCTGCCTTGATCTCTCTAGGTAGGTAAATCTCTTCCTAAACAGATTGAATCCACGTGGAAGGCAGAAAACTGGCTTCCGAATCTTCGCACACCCGTGGCCCCATCACAGCATCAGGGCACGGCGGGCTAGCAATGACACCGTGGGGTTCTTTGTTCCTCTATGGCAGGAGCTCAGCACCGCACCACCGAGGAGCAGAGCACAGGGTCTCAGCCCCCGCCCGCATCCAGCGATCAGCAGGCAGGCATTGTTCCAGGACTCCCTTCTGAGGCTGGCGTCCATGCAAGCTCAAGTCCCTGACACGAGCATAGAGCGGCACAGCACCTGCACATAAGCTACATACATCCTGAAGTCTCTAGACTTCTCATAACCCCTAAAACTATGCAAGCGCCACGCAATTTGTCAGGATCCTGCTTTAACGGTGCTCAATTCCATCATATCAAAGTAAATCGAAGAGTAAGCCTGACCTCATTATCGAGGGAAAGCCGGTGGCTTGGGAAAGCTCTGCCGGCCCGTCACCCATGCATCACCTGGAGAAGACGGCTGCCGCCATCACAGACGCGCCCAGAACCGAACTCTCCCGCAGCCTCCTGTTCACTTCCTCCGCCTCTACGGGGCCAGCGCCACCCCACCTGCAGCTGCACGTCAAGATCCTGCAGGGAGTGCTTACAAGTGCCCCGCCACGTGACACCCTGGACCACTCACATCCTACGTGGGCAAGATGGAGTTTCGTGAAGCACCCCAGATGACCAGGAAGGGCGAGCATGTCTGACGACCAGGCCAGGTGGTCCGATAGGTAACGGAGATTTGAGGGCTATCACAGACCGTTGCTCACGCGCCCACAGGCGTCTCCCCACCTGTGGCCACCCCAGCAGCTAGAGGCACTCTCCCAAGAGCCCCAGCTAAGGTGGAAACGCAGACCTGAGAAGAGCACAGACGTCTGTTCATACAAATCACCACACAGCCACCCAGGACGGTGCTGTGAGTCAGCGTGTGGCTCCACCACAACGTGGCACTGCTGAGAATTCCAGCCACCACCTGTGGACCTGCCTGAGGGACGAAGGGGTCAGAGCTGTGGCTTCCTCAGTTGAAGGAGGTGGTAAAAACTACTTGATATGAAGTATTCCAAAACTCAAACAAGAGCCCACGGCCTTAGAGTGCGTGGGTGTCGGACAGTGGCAAGGTGCACGGCGACAGCATATGGCGCACGGATTTTTCTGGAGAGCAGGATCCTGACAGGATCAGGAAATGGGAAAACAAGGCATGCTTATTCGGGGGGAGGGGGACGCACCCAGCAGTGTGGCGTAGTGGGTAAAGCTACTGCCTGTGATGCCAGCACCCCATCTGGGCACTGGTTCACATCCCAGCTGCTCCTCTTCTGATCCAGCTCCCTGCTAATGGCCTGGGAAAAGCGGCAGAACATGGTCCAAGTGTTTGGGCAACTGAAACCCATATGAGAGACCCAGATGAAGCCTCTGGCTTCAACCTGGCCCAGCACAGTCTGTTGCAGCCATCTGCAGAGTGAACCAGCAGATGGAAGATCTGTCTCTCCCTGTCTCTGACTTTCAAAAGGAGTAAACCTTTTTTAAAAAAAATAGAACACCAGCATCCATGTTCCACATTTGAATAATTAAATCTTTGTGGGTGGGGCCCAGGCACTGTATTGTGTTTTAAACTTCCCCAGTGATCAACATGTTTGAGAATTAAAACTACATCAGAGTGAACCTTGGGTCAGAGTGAGCCTCGGGGCCGAGGTGGACCTCAGGGAACAGAGAGCAGAGCACCTGGAATGCACACTCCCTGGAACCAGCGCCAGTGCCCCCGCTGAGCTTTACTAACACAAGTCATTGTAAACAGCAGTGCTTCCGAGACGGAGATGAGTGGAGTCATCACTCCTGTGGTATGGGGCAGAAGCCCAGGGTTAGGAGGACTGAATCTGCCCAAGTTGCTAAGAGCTGAGTCAGGAGAGAAGCAGAGAGCGTGGTGCCGGATGTGAAACCCTCCTGGTCCCACCTCCTGCAGAAACCCTAAGGTCATTTTTTTATTTTTATTTTTATTTTTTGACAGGCAGAGTTAGACAGTGAGAGAGAGACAGAGAGAAAGGTCTTCCTTCCG